AATCCCACACTGGATTGATGCAACACATTTGACATTGAGACCCATTAAAATCGCACTGTATTGCCTACCTTCCAGCCCACTTGGCCTAACACACTCCTGTGACTTCTTGGTAGGTAATTTCGGCCGAGATGGTGGCGGAGGTCTTGCAGGAGGACCCCCGCTTGGAGGGGGTGGGCGTGAGGGAGGAGGCTTCTTTGTGCTAGCTACAATGTCTGGCTCCACTGTGAACTGCTGAGGTTTTAAAGACCCAGAGGAGTCCGAGTCAGCTGGCCTGTCAGTCAAGGGAACCTGGTCTAAGATGTCAGCCGGTCTTGGCTCCTGACCACCTTCTGCAACCGCAACAGACAGGCTGGGCTGACTCTGTCCTATGGTGCTGGTGATGTCTGGAGGCTGAACATGTTCTTGTGAGCCAGCTGATGGCCCTGGGAGACCTGTGGGCTCGAGAGCAGGTATAGAGCACTCGCCGTTTGATACTATGCTATTCCGTTGTTCCTCTGGCCTCTCGACAAGCTGGGGTTCAACAGCTGGCACAGCCAGCTCCCCAGGGAGCCTGTCACCATTATTCTGCTCATTTGGCTCTGCTGCTACATCAACATGCAGCTGATCTAACAGCTGAGCCACCTCACCTACGTCTCCCTTTTGACTCTCTTCGATGATACTATCAATGATCTAAAAGAAGAGAAAACACAGTCGATTTAGCAATACAACATCTATTTTTTTACGTTATAGCTCATCTCTAAGAAAATGTGTTTCTCTTTGCACAGAACTTAAAACAAAACTCTAAACAAGGATGAGACTAGAGAAACATACCTGTAACGAATCATCTTGCTGAGTCTCAGAAGTGGCACAGCTCAAATCTTGCGCAACGTTTACTGAACTGTGCAAAAGCTGTTTCGAAAAAACAAACAAACATATAGACCATTTACCAACATGTACTTACAATACACACGCACACAGGAGAAATATCAACAGTAACATGACAGCTAAATTACAGTTATTCAGGCGTATCCACACAAATGGAAACCTAGAGATGAATTGTTTATCTATCTTATGATATTCATCAACACAGTCTTGGAGGTTATGTTATGTAATAATTCTTTGTTTACCTTTATATTAATTCCTTGTGTAACTGCCAGCTTATGATATAACAAATGGCTTTTCTAGATTGAAAGTAATGTCTACATCTTGTTACCACTCAAAATGTGTATACCGCTCTCCTATTTTGGTCCCATTTCCTGCATGGAGTGAGGTCAGGCGATTGTTGTCTTTAACGTTTGCATCACCTTGCAATAGCATGTATATTATTTTTGTTTTTCCTTGCAATTATTTGTGCATTTCATTGCAGTAACTTGTTTTCTCTGACAACCTGCTTTGCATTCCTGATGATCCATTTGAAAAGTTCGGTTGTTTGTTGGCCCAGATCAGGTCTTCAGTGACAAATGTGTCATACTACCAACATACAGTAGCATTAAACTCTTATCCTGGACAGCTATCAGCATCATCTAACATGTAACTAACATCATAACAATGTTGGTTCAGAATCAAAATTGCAAATGACACACACACACAAAACCACTGTGAATAATCAATGTTGCACCACTAAAACTTGTCACAGCCATAACTGTAAAAAACAAGTCTTGACAGCAACGATCTCTAACCCAACTCTGCAGTCATAAGTACATATACAGCTGAGGGTGTCCTGACTCTCACTGCTGTCACAACCAGCAGCAGTCTAGAATACCACATGACACCACATCATAAAACAGTAAAGCCTTTTACGATGAGTCAGATGAAATGCAAAATTTTTTTGCGAGGTCATGCAAAAAAAAAAAAACACCATACAAAGTAATGCAAATTTCATTGAGAGGTAACATAAAGGTAGTTGTCAAAAAAACATTACATCGCCATGAGCTTGGAGGGGACCTTGTACAATTAGTACACAAAGGTGTTTAGGAACGGTATTGCTCATAGCCGTTTACACACGATCACCAAGGTATAGGAAAAAATCTGCACCTTTCATAGGGATAAACATGGATAAAGCAAGATTAATAAACATAACTGGAAAATGCATAGATCTCTATGTTTTTTGTTTTTTTACTGTAGTCACCCCTTCCCAAAGGTCATTCAGAGACAGGAAAACTATAGACAAGCTACAAACTAATAGTGTTTTGTGTGTGTGTCCGTGCGCATATATATATGAATTTGAAAAATCAAAAAGTCACTATTTTGTTGCCATATTACTTTGAACTATAGAGTAATCATTCCAAGAGCAACTCAGCACAACCGTGACACCTTGTTTCAACAGTGCCTAGATTTAAATAAACATACCTGAGGTGAAGGAATGACGAACTTTGCGGGAGACCTAAGAAACACAAAACACGTGGTTTAAAACTGATATAGGCTAAACTTATAAAGCAGAGAAGAAGAAAAAAAACAAATACAACACAAAAATCTAACTTTTTATAATTTTACCTGTCACCTAAGCAGTTGAGACAATGAATTAAATAACTTTTACCCCATATATAACTTTTGATCAGAAGAAATAATAGAAGCAACAGAGCACACACTTTAAACATTTACAGAGTGGTTCAGTAACCGCTTGCTTTTAAGCAGACACAAAATGCATCTTTAAAAGTTACATTACATTATTAATCTCTAATCGAGCTGTCATACAGCGGATCATACAAAAATACTGTTTTGTAAGCTACTGCTACCTTCAGTCTGGTTTTTTTTTTTTTTTTATTCCAACAAGCTATGTTTTGGATGAAAACTGTAAATTTGCATTGTGGTTTCAGCTTTGATAAGAAACCTGTTCCTTCAGTCCAAATCCTACTGTCATCATGTGACTTGTGAGTGTTTTGAGGGTTAGACTCTCCTGTACCTGCACTGAATAGCTGGTGAACACAAGCACTGTATGACAGCATATAATTAATATTCGGCATCTAAATACAAAACAGACTGGGTCGTATTTTGCACACGGCACATGACCTGGCTTTGAAGCAGCTTGAGTTCATGCTTTTCATGAAAGAATGGCCATTTTGCAAATCTAACGTTAGTTGTCAATACTACGCTAGCTAGATATATATGAGACAAGACAAAAACAAGCAATTTAACACCGTTTTCAAAAGTAATATTGGCAAAACGTCTTTTCTTACACTTGTGGAGACGGAGTAAAATTGGGGTCCTCTGGAGCATCATAGAATTCCTCCGTGTCACTTGTATCTGACGCCATGCTAACGTCAATGTAGTTCGCTAGCTAGCCTAGTTTCCAGGCAGCTGTGTATAAGCCTAACCTGCCAATGACTGAAAGGTATTACATATGCGCTTGTAACGTCCTCTATGTTAACAGTGATATTCCATTGCCCGAGCCCGGGAGTCGTCAAATAACAACTTTCCGGTCCAACATTACGCTGCAGCTAACAAATGTAATCCTGTCGAACGACTAAGCAGCACTTAATGCTAACTAGCCCTGACCCTCTTTTAGGTCTATCTTGCACAAAGCACAGTATCGACCGAAAAAACCGCCACAAGCGCGTTTTTTGTTATGCTTTTTCACAACATTACACACTTGATAAGCTGTCAAGCTAACAGAACCAGGGAACCGCGTCATAAACAAACCAGCTACACAAAAAAATACATCCTAACGAAGCAAGGGAGGGGCACAGGCGCCCTCTTGTTTCTTCTTCTTTTTCAATGGCGGTTGGAGAACAGCTTTTACGGCTAATACTGCCACCTTCTGGACTGGAATCTGAATGGAACAACTTGGTTGCTAATTCCTTTTTTTCAATCTTTTAACTCTCACTCATTTTACTTCACTAATATGAGTGCCGTTTTATAAAATTACTGTATACATTACAATACTCACTGAACAACCAAGAGAATAACAGCCACTGATCAGGTGGAGTAGAGTGTATTAGTTGGTCTAGCAGCAAGGTGTAGTTTTTGGTTCCTAAATAATCCACTCAGGATGATATGATCATGATTAGAGCAACAGTTTGTTTAACCCATATTTGAGAAATTATTATTATTATTAGTGTATCTGGCAGATGACTCTCTGACAGACATTTCTGAATTATAGAGGCAGGTAGCATTTGGTCTGAGAGATTTCTTATATCTGTCCTTGTGGCAGTGGAGCCGAAACAGTCTGTTGGAAAAGGTGATCCGCTGCCTGTCAGTGGTGCAGAGGGGGACAGGATTATCCATGGAGTTTAAAGTTTGCTCACTGACACCACAGCTTCACCACAGTTTCAAAAGTGACCAGTTTGCTGGCATTTGCAGAGTTAGCCTTTTCAGTGATTCTGTTCATGTCACCAGCTCCCAAAGCAGACCACAGGCAAGTACACTGGGCTTGCAATGCCTAATTGACAGAAAATCTCATCATTTTGCCGTTTCTTCACAGAACACGCCACACAATCATCCACTGGTGCTCTGTACTCTTCCTGCCTATCACTAATAAATTCACTGCCACTGCAGAACTGTCAGAGTATTTCTGTAGGTCGCATGGATTGAAAGTCTGTGGAGCTTCTGTGCTGCACATCACCAAATCAGACATAGCACTGACTAATCTCTGTCAGTAACCCATGAGATGGTATACATGTTTACTGACATTTCTTATCGCTTTTCTCTCAGCAGAGAGAAGAGCTGGATCATTTTAATTTGAGAAATCAAAGGAAGTGATCCTCTGCATGCAGCCATTTTTTTAGATGGGACTTAGCTCTCTGCAGCATGTATATAGTTGCATCATGGCAGATTTGGTTTGTATGCAAACTGCATGTGACTTTTCCACTAATGAGCAATTTAGAGCCTTGCTGACATTTGGTTGTTTTAAGCAGACACACAGACATAATAATTATATCTTAATTATTAGTTAGAATAACATTATTATATGTAAGGTCACCAGAAAAACGGCTAAATAAATGTGACCAGGATACAGTGATGGAAATAATTATTTTGATCTTCACTTACAAAGAAATGAACAGTCTCCAAATTTGATGGCAGTTTTATTTTAACTGAGAGAGAAAGGATAGAGGAGGATTTTAATCAAGAACCCAGAAAGAAAACATTACATAAAAATTATAAGATGATTTGCATATCATTCAGTGAAGTAAGTATTTGAGCCCCAATCAAAACATGATTTAGTACTTGCTGGAGAAACCCTTGTTAGCAAGCATGGTGGTAAGAAGTTTTTTTGTAGTTGGTCACCAGGTTTGTGCACATCTGAGGAGGGATTTCGGCCCGCTCCTCTTTACAGAAACTTTTTTAGGTTTCTTGGCTGCAACTTGGAAACTCAAAGGTTCAGCTCCCTCCACCAATTTTCTATAGGACTGAGTTTGGAGAGTGGCTAAGCTACTCCATAATCTTAATGTTCTTCTTTGTTGCCTTGGTTTTGGCTACTGCCATGCTGGAAAAGTCATCCTTGACCCATCTTTAGTGTTCTGGGTGAGCAAACAAGGGTATTGTCCAAGATTTTATTGTACATGGTCCTGCTCATTGGTCCCTCAATGTGGTGAAGTCGTCCTGTACCTTTAGCAGAAAAATAACCAAAAGCATAATGTTTTCACCTCTGTGCTTGAATGTAGGAATGGTGCTCTTTTGATCATACTCAGCATTTCTCAAACAATCATTTTCCCCACACTATACACGGTTACTGATCAGTAATTAGTGCAGGGGTATTGTTAAGTATACTAGAAAGTGTAATTAAATTGTAGTGCTTAATAAATCCATTGAAAAACTCATTTAAGTTACACGCTCATATGTTAGCCGCTCTATGCCCCGCTCATTCTTTCTCACATGCTTCGACAGGCACAGTGAATGAGGTACGGAAAAATCACCACAGACTGAAGTGTTTTCATTTGCAATCAAAGCGCTCTTTGTTCCAGATCAATGCATCAGCTGATTGATAATAAGACTACAATCTAATGGATTATTCAAGAGTATGAAAAGGTGGAGGTTGCAGAAAGGTGATTATTGGAGAATCTGAGTGCATTTTAATGAATGCATACATTATTTTTACACATTTTGTCATTGTAGACTGTAGCTGTTAACTGAAATAACCACCCATTACAACCAAGGCATGCAGAAGAGGATCTCTGAGTCACAAGACAAAGTCACAAGACTCATCAAAGACTCAAAGTTTTTTTGTATTTTAAAAAAGTACAAAAAAGCCAAACATATTTTACAGGTAGCCTGTCATTCAAAAATACATTTATGTCTTTTAAAATGATTTACATACTGTGAACAAATGTGGCTATTGTTTGTCTATTTGGTCATTTTCATTGCAGAATTGATCCATCTTTTACTTTTTTCAATAGTAAAAACTAATAAAAAATATTTTTATGTATTGTTGTTATATTTTATTTAATTTTATTTAACATATTTATTTGTTTTTTTCTAGTTAACTTTACATGGTGTAAAAAAAAGAAATTCCTGACCTTTGGGATAAATGAGGTATGTGTTGTCTTATTTATTTGTCAGAGTCCTTTTAATTTTTGCTGTTTGAGCTGGAATGTCATTGGGCAGCAGGAACACCGATCTCTGCTGTACCTGTGAAAAAACAAATCACTTCCATATTTCAACAACATTAGCCTCTCACATTAGCTCATCTTGAAATTTCCACTTGATTTACCACAATATTCAAACTCCAAATTCAGACTTCTGCTTTTGTAAACTAAATAAATAAATAAATAAATAAATAAATAAATAAATAACCAACCTAATTGTCATACTTTATGTGCGTCCCTGTCTCACTAATTTCCAACATGTGATACTTTTCATTATGAATATAGCTCACGAATGTTTTTAAATGGAAGGCTATGGTTCACCTCACAAAGTATTATCCAGGCATTTCAGTGTCCAGGTGCTTCAAATAAAAAAAGCTGTCTTAAAACCATTATTTAGTAACGGAAGTTTTAAGCCAATGAGAGAAGATTGCCATACTCTTCCGCCAATGGAAAGTGTGGATACTCCGGCTTTCCTAGTAAGCTACAACTGCATTGGATAAAACTAGGAAGGAGGCTTCAGGGGTATAAGTGGATTTGAGGGCTTGGAAGGAAAACAAGGACGCAAGGTAACGCTATATCGTTGTGGAAGGTATGGAATATGCTTTATAAAACTTTGCAGAGTATAGTTAAACTGCCTACATTAATGAATATGTTATACGTAGTATATTAAGCTCAACACATACCGGGTTGTCAGTTAGCCATAGGCATCTGTTGGTGGTGGTAGATCAACCAACCAACCAGACCAACTAATAACTAAACCAACTAACTTATATTAGGACCACAGTCCTTTGCGCCGTCACTGGTTAAGCTAATGTCGCTATGGGAAGATTGCTTAAGAGAAACTTACGCGACAACCACAAAGTCGACTGTCGTGATTTGATGTTATTTTAAGCTAGCAAATGTTAACGATAGGGTTAGCCTAGCTAGTTAGCATTAGCCTGTTCCCACCGGAGGTGTACCGACAGTATGGAGTCAATCATGGCCAGAAAATGAGCAAAGCTCCCATTTGGTTGCCTTGTCTGTTAAGTCTGAACAGCTGTCGCAGTCCGGCTAATGGAGACAGACGTGTTTAAAGATAGGAGCCTGAAGCCTTTGCTAAGAACAAAGTCAGTTTTAGTTTCTCTCCCATACATCACGATATCAAACCTTGAGCTTTAAAAGGACTAACCTCACCTTCTCCACACGTCTCTCCGACAGCTCGGCACTTTGTGGTGACAAACGTTCGTCCCAAATTAAACCCTGTCACTAAATTAATTCTTAAACAGAGGGAATCAAAGTTTTAGGAAAACTTCTCAAATATCAAAAACTTTTGAGCTAAGCTTTTGAAACAATCGCGATGACAGTTTGCTCATCTTTTCTTATTTTAAAGGTGATGCTGCTGTATTTTAAACGAGCACGAAGATTGTTCTCTCAAGTAACATAGACTAGAGCTATATTTAGCATTAATTAGCCTAGTTCAGTGTAAAGCAACAAGTTGTGATGTAACTGTAACATTTTAGCAGCGGATGGGGTCAAAGAAACACCCATTCACCCTTCTGTCAATCTATTTCAGCTTTCAGCTACAAAGTAACATGCATGCACACGCACTTTGTTACTACCAATTATTTAAGATGTTAATGTAAGTTTAATATATATGAGGGATTTGTGTGTGTGTGTGTGTGTGGTACATCTCAGTTGAGGAGAATAAGCGTTCAGATGGTGCATTGCCATGTAACTGAATGTTTGTGTCAGCTGACATGGGGTAAAGTGGATTAAGAAAAGATCAATGCCTTGCTGGAGAAGCTTTCTTAAACTGGCTCGTTAAAGTGTGCAAACTTTAAAACATGATAACGTAAGTTCAGTTTAAACATGCTGTTAATACTGTCAAAACTGTCCTAAAAGTGCTGAATTAAAAATCACCTAATTAAAAAAAGTATTATGGCATTTTCTGGAGTTCAATTGAATGTGTGCTTCTTGGAGAAGGGTTTTAACACAAATATTTTGCTTTTGAGGTGTGGTTTTTGGCGAGGGTATGGAGCACCCTATACACAGAGGGGAGACGATGCCCGTCGGACTGCACGATAGGTATGGTAATGTGCCTCATCTTGCATTTTTGTTTTTATTAATATGCCTATGAATTTTATATTTTGCTCACAAAACTTACCAAAAATTAAGGAATGTTTAACATACGGTGTAAGCAATGTTTAAGATTTTATTTTCCTTCTCTTAGAATAATATTAAATGTAACCAGCCAAAATTAGTCGTTTTTTAAAAAAGCATCTTCCAATAGAGAATTGATGGTGGGCCATTTTTAAACTGTAGGTAATGCTTGGTGTAAATTCTGGATAGGAATGGCTTCTACCTGGTGTTAATTAAGTAGTATTTATTACATGTTAAGGAATTAAAGTGTTAATGGATTAGCATACATAGGCCAGGACTGAAAAATACTGCTAAAACCTCTGAGCCTCTCCAGTGACTCTAATATATTATTTTGTTCTCCAGTACTTTACCTTTTACATCTTGCCTGAGTAGCCTGTGTGTAATAGTGGCTTATTTCTCACTAAACAAACAGTATTTTCACATACTCATAGTTATTTCATACTTTTCTATATATCCTCAAATTGGATTTTAATGGCATTTATAACTGGACTTGGTAATAATTGAAAACAAGCAGTTTCTTTGTTTTGTTTTGTCTTTGTTTTTTGTTTTTGTTTTTTATCCCCATCAAGTTGAGTCAAATGACTCAGCTTGATGTGACCTAATATGGACCAACACTGGGTATAACTGTGGTGGATGGTGCCCTCTGTTTTCGGTTCCTGGTGGGACTTAAAGTTAGAGACGGGCATAACTATTTTAAAATCAATAGTGACACTCATGCATGCAGAGATGACAGAATTAGTCTTTTGTCCTCATTTTAGCTTCTTCCACTGTTGTTGGATTAAGACGGCACAATACCTACTGATTTGAATGGATAGGTGTTAAAGAGATTTATATAAGAAGTCTGAGCTTTTTGTAGATTTACAACTGTTTGTCTTTTGCCTTTGTAGCTTATAACTTTCATTTTAAGCAAAAGTGATAGATGAAGAGATAAGGAAGTCAAACTGTGCACCAAAACTGTTGGTATTTGTGTTGTGGTTTCACTCTCGGTTTCATAACTGCTACAGCTCTTTGATGTGGTACTAATAGAATTAAGATGTGCACGTTTCTGTTGAGATCACTGATAGAAGACAACAATTTCATAGCAGGTATAGAAGAAGAAGGTACTTTCAGCTGGTCCCTTATTTCCCGAGGGTTCACCACACCACATGTTTGATTTGGCACACATTTTAGGCTGGATGCTCTGCCTGATCTGATTCAATTCAACTCAATTTCAGTTAAAGTCAATGAAATTTTTTTTTATATAGTGCCAAATCATAACATCAGGCGCTTTATATTGCAAGTTAAAGACCCTACAATAATACAACCTAAGTATTATTAAGGTAGTGACCACTTTTATTGAACTTGAAAATTGATCATCTTTGGTGTCTTAGCACCAGCATTGCACTATCGATAAAAGTAACTTATCCAGGTAAAATAGGGAGTAATTTTAACTTCCTGAATAATGCATGCTACAAAAACAAAGTTTAAGTGAGCCAACTGAGTCATGGTAATTTCAGTTCTATCTCTAAAAAGCTTCAGAGCTGCTTATTTTCCAGGTAACAGATGTTTGCATTTAAAGGCCTGATTAACTGGTCAACCACTTTTAACAAAAAATATTTTGATGTGTAGATAGAGAGCATCTAGTCTTTTTAATAGAGCATCTAAACCCTTTGTCTTTCCAAAACATCAATGACAATATTGATTCTCTGGAGAGGGAACATTTTCCTTTGCCTCGTTGTTTTTTTATTCTAGCCTGTAGCAAACAATTTCAGATGTATTTTATTGTTCCTAAGGCCTTCGTTTAGCACTGAAGAAGCTTTGAATACTTGTTGAGATTGTGAAAGATTTGTAAGCATGCTTATATTTGATCTTTAATTGCTTTCAAGACTGTTTAACATTGGCAGGGTCGCACCTGAAAGAAAAGGGTGAAGTAGTCGTACATGCCATAAGATTGCATCTAAGCAACACAAAATTTAAATGGAACACATAATTATAGTTCTAATCAGATATGCTTTGCTTTAATAATGGGGCGGTGATGCTGATAAGCCTATTAATTTACACAGCAGACATTTTTCCCCAGCCTTCCTCCTTGGCTTTGGCTGCAGCTTTGGTGTTACTTTTAGCTGGAATTAGATTAATTTAATTCCTCATATTTATTTGAGGTTGTTTATTTTTTTTAATCCTGCCAGTTCAGACAGCCAGTTTCTCAACCGTGACTTCTTTGATTAAAATTGAGTTAAATTTGAGTAGGTTAAACTCCCTTTGGACAGCTATGGTCTGTAAAAGGCGCTCGAAAACAGAACTGAGACTGTGTGGAGGTGGATGAGACACACCACCAAATGTTGGAGAACACAGTTGTGAATGTAAAGTTAAGGCGGAGTGCTGACTGTCTCTCCACAGCATAAGCTATCAGTAACACATTTAGAAAAGCCTGTTTAATAAATGAAAGAAGCTTAAAAACACCATGACTTCACTTCTCCTATGGCTAATTGCTTTTGGATAATAATCAAATTGTATTTAGCATAGAAACCTTGCTGTTCACAGTTCATTCATGTAAAATAAAATCTTTACACTGGTGTGGAATTATTGTATTGCTGCCATTTGACATGGACAGCTCTATTATGTGGGGGTTTGCAGTTGTTGGAGGAGAGTGATAGAATAGGACTGTGAATAATGGGTGTAGCACTGAGCCTTCAGGCTTTGACAGAAGCGGCACGATGACTGCTGCCCTTGGTTAAGACGCAAGGTCATTCTGCTAGTTACAGCGTAAGGTGTGATGATGGGGGTTGTAATACAGATGGCACCGCCAGTTGAGGAGAAGAAGAAGAAGAGAGGGGGAAAAGGGTCATGACCGTTATATGTATTTCAGAATGCAAGAGGAGAGAAGACTATTTAAAGATGTTATTGTTTGCTAGTGCTGGGTTTGTATGTCATATGCAGGAATATCCACTACAGATGGGGGTGCTTGCACACACATGCAGCGTAGCTGAAATTTGACACAAGAACAGATTAAGTGGACAAATATTCATCTTTTCTGAGAGGGACTTTGTCACAAAATCAGCCACCAGAAAGAATTTATGCTTGAACACTTCACATGAAGCCTTTCCTGTAATAGCGGGACAGTACACTCTTGGCCACTTGAAACTGCAGCAGTCTGATGGTGAGTTGAGGTTAGACAAAAATAACACAGAGAAGAAAGATTTATTTTGAAATGCTGCTACTGTTGTATTTTTAAAGAAGTAGATATTACATACATAGACATATTACGTTTTAATTTTTATTTTTTGCAATGATCCAAGAAGTCTATCTGATATAACCGATTTGCAGTTTAATTAACACACAAAAACACTGTTTTGGAATTGGCCTCTGGTTGGCTCTCGGTGCTTTTCGCAGTCTCTGGCAAATAAAAAGTTAGAAGAATCACAAAATGTAATGCTAAGTGTTTTGAATTCTCCATATTCATATATGGCAAAGGTAGCATCTTAGGTGGACGTCTCACTCAGACCTCAGATACACAGAGAGTAGTGAAGGATTTAAGACTAATTATGACTTGTGCGAGTCGAATCTGTGGAGAGCCTATTTTGTAGTCCACGTACAGGGCTGGTGACGTTGCCAAAATTTATGCTTGTGCTGTTGTGTCTCTGTTGTACTGCAGCTTTGCCTCCAAAACACTGGTTTGCAATCAAGTTTCTGTTTAAGTTGATCTAGTCCATTCAAAAAAAAAAAAAAAATCATGGCAGAAACAGGAGTTGGAAGAAATAAGAAGAAAGGATTATACTGATGAGGTCAATCACAGTCATGTAGTTACATTTCCAGGGGGGGACAAGGGTGTGCGGTTACCCAGTAACTATGGTGTAGATGAAAATACAGGTGTACATTTTCACTGTTAGTTTGCCACAAGCAGGGAACATAAGTGGCCAAGTAAATGTGGCTCCATGGTGGAGTAGTTTACAAATTCACCTACCAGTTAAATCCCAGGGGCAGATGTGTATCCCTTTGGGGTTGTGTCAGAAAGCTACCTGCTGTGGTGACCCTTTTGAATTAGGGAGCAGGTGAATGTAGCTGAAGTGGCCAAAAATATCAGCTGAACAGCTGAGGGTGAGCAGGTGTTAAGTCATTTTATGTCTTTTTTTTCCAACTTTTTAAAACTACTTTCCCCCCCCAAAAATCTTTTTTTTTTTTGTTATTTTTTGTATTTTTTAAAAAAAAACTTAGGCGGGGTATTACCGTTCGGTTTAAAAAATTCCTTGAAAAACTTTGGGGGTTTTTTTTTTTTCGTTTTGTTTTGTCTGAACAACAGCTGTTAAATACAAAATTTTCATATTGCTCCGGCTCCGTAGGGGATAAGCTTACGCCTGGAATAATTTCTAAAACAGTCGTATGATAATAATGGTAGAAAGATGAAACCCCATCTTGGCTCCAGATAATGATTTACATTCTGACTCCTGTTTGGTAAAATAGATTTTTGTCAGCAGACATCAAATCGTGGAGCCTTAACTGGCTAGATACTGAATAGAGAACAGGATGATGATCAAAGCTTCGTGGACCTAAGCCCCCTGCTGGTTCTATTATTTCCCATTTACATGTTGAGCAAATGATTAATCTTCCATGTTTTGCCACAGCAGACCTCGCAAAGGGTGTCGAATGTCCATTCTTTATAATAGAAGCAAATTATTATTTATTTATATATATATTTTTTGTAATATGTGGTAATGTAGGGCTTGTAAATGGCATGTTTATGTTGAAGTACATGTACCTGTTTTCAGGTTAGTTCTATTGATTGACCACTTGTGGACATAATGTGCACATATAATGTGTGCAGCTATTTAAAATGTTTGTGTGTGTTTTCCAAATAAGAGTGACTTTTGGTCAGTTTTCCTAGTTTTCACAGCCCTTGTTGTCAGGTAGATAAATAATTGATTTGAGTTGGGGAATGTTAATCAAATTAGATATGTTCATTAAATGCTTCATTAAATGAAGTGTTAACTTTCAAGGGCAGCCCGGTTACATATGTATAACTGTGCATAGCCTTTAGATGGATCTGCCTTTTCTGACTGTGGAAGCGGGCATAGCATAAACTGTGGTTGCATTTATCAGCCAATCTGTGGCGCTAAGGATATGTCTCGCTGTGCTGTAACTACTCTGCACTGTTTCTATGACCTCCCAGCCAAGAAAGCGTAGGTAAGACAAATGACTTACCCACGCAGCACAAGAGTTCAGAACCTGCAGTATGCACAGCCATTTCAGTTCGCAGCAGAAACCAATATGTCAAAGCCTTTTAATCATGCCCGTGTCCAAAGCACAGCCATGGCCACAGCCACAATCACAGTGACAACTCTGTCGTCCCGTGACCACAGTCTGACTTGTACAGCCTGAGCAGCAGTTTTTAGGCTTGGTGTATGAGCTCCTCTAGTTAATTGCAGAGGTAGAAAATTATGCTATAGCTAAAAAGCTGGCTGTAGTCCGTAACGTAATATTCTATAACATCAGTGTAAATCTCAGCTGTCGATGTGTTCGCTCATCTGATCTATTAATCAGATGGATTGTAAAAGGTGTTGCATTGTGTCTCAAAGGTATTGTGACCTAAAGCAAAGCCTACTGGGACTCCTTACAGCAAATCCTTTGCAGTTAATGACTGTCTGAAGTCTTGAGTCAGAGCATCTTACCAAATGATGTTTCTTCCTGTGGAATGCATTGCCCTGCCTTCACTGCATCTAGCACCAGTACCTGCTTGTTTGTGGGTCTTGTTTGTGCCTTCCGTTTTATTTCTTTCAGTAAGGGAAAGGTGGGCTTAGTTGGTTTGAAGTTAGGTGATTGGCTTGTCCATTTAAGAGCATTCCACTCCTTTGCCTTAATAAGCTCTTGGGTTGCTTCCATGGTTTTAGGTCATTATCCAACTGCACCACCAATCGCCTTCCAATCAGTTTTGTGTGGGGGATAATTTAAGAGGAAGAGAACATCAAATTGCAGTTGACTCCAAATCCCTACATGCTTAGGTTTGGTAAAGTGGAACAGTTCAGGTAGTGTAGTTAAAATTTTGATCAATTTGCGCTCTTTCTGTACTGTTAATTTAAAAGGCAATGGGAATATGAATATAGTGGCCCATGTCCAGTACCTAGTATATAGAACTATATAGTTTAATCAGTGACATGCCCATCTCTTGAGACTGGATCCTTTGGTTGTTTTTTTTGTTTGTTTTTTTTAAAATTGACTTGTATATATATTTTTCTTAATCTACCATCCTTGTATTTGCACCGAAAGCCAAGAGCTGTAATCACAGCTCATCTAACAAGGTGGCACTGTTGCTTAGCTACTGGGCTATTCACTACCCTGAAAGGGTGATGAGAAGGCAGGGCTTCTTCCCCCTCCTACCACGAGACAACTGTGAATGCAGCAGGGCAAGTAGTCGTGGTGGATGCAATCTATTGGCTTCTCAGTGCTGCCGCTAAAGTCACAACCCCGACTGTAGCCCGCACTGCCTTTACCAGTGTATTTCTGTAGCTGCTGGTGCCGCTGCTGCTCTCCCTCCCCCTTAAATGGTGTGGGCAGAGTGGGATGGAAGACTGCATTGGAAACCTTTTCATGGAAATGGTCTTTGCTGTTGGTATTGCTGTAGCACCATTCTGGTGACAACAACATGCCGTTGAAATGGAAAAGCGGTTCTCCTGTCAGCTGGAAATTCCCAGTGCCAGTTCTTAAGACATCCAGGTCCTCACCCCTTTCGCCTGCTTACATGTGAGTAAGAGCTGAATAGCATTCAAGATATACAATTGCAGCAGCGCGTATGGAAATGCAGTTATTTGCTTCTCAGTTTCTAATATTTTATTTTATGTTGTTTTTTTTTTAAATGAGTGTGACACCGTTATTTTTGTTGCAGCCCTAATTATGCGATTAAGCCTTGTAGTGTGTCAAGAGATTTCCCTTGTCCAAGATGAATTTTATGGTTTGCTGGGAGAGTGCCTTGCTCTCGGGCAAAAGGACTCATTTTGCTGCTTGTCTGGACACAGCATGCTCCACATCCCCGACTCTTGCCCTCTCCCTGTGGCTGTGTTTATTTGGGAACCGGGGACTCAGCAGCTTGGGAGGAGCCTGCCTTTGTCAGGATGTCTGGCGTGCCCTGGTTTAGAAGCTATTGTCATCTGCTACTGTTCAGGAAGGAGGAAGGGGGAAGGGTAGATCTGGAGTGGTTCACACAGTCCCTGCCATCATCTCTCTTTACATTTTTTTTTTTCTACCTGTAAGTGTCTTGTTTGACTTTCTGAACGGTAACGGGGTTGGTTTACAGATGGTAAGAACAATTTTGGAAGTGACAGTTTTCAAGACAACCTTGGCTAACTGAAAAGCCTAAAGGGAATTTCAGAGGCTAACTGGGCTTACTTAGAGGGATTTCTGCAAAATTGGATTCATGCAGTTCCCAGTAATCATGTATCTTTATAAGCTTAGGAGATTATTTTTGATGGTTTTACTCAAATATTTATTTTTGTATTAGTGCAGCACAGTAAGAGAAAGCCATGCTTTTACTTCTCTTATGTCAGGCTCCCCTTTAAATATCCTCAGTAGAACTGTTCATACTCAAAACACAGCTATGAACAAGCAAATGTACGAAATACATTTTTATTGTGTAGCATAAACCTAAACTGGATAGTATGTCCTGAATCCTGGAGAGGACTAAATTGTGAGATCTTGTATGTATAAAAGTTCACTAATGACACTATTGACTTGTTAATTATAGATTTAATCTAGATTTCATCAGGCTAGTTTAGGTTAAGCATCCTGCCCGGCAGTCACAGTTATTGGCAATTGAGCATCTCCAGCAGAGCAGTTGGGTGTTAAAGGCCTTGTTCAAGGGCATCTCAGTGATGGTAGCAACCGAGAGGAAAAGGCGCTTCCTCATTTCCTGACAGCCTGTAGCTCAAACTACTGACCTTCTTGTTAATTTAATTTCTTTGAAACGGCGACACAGACCCCATAAAAGCAGTTGTCGTAAATTGGCTGTAAATGGTTAATTGTAAATAAGAAGTTAAAGTTAATTAAGTGGAAAAAGTTATTAACAGAGAAAAGTGAATGAGCATTTAAAAAAAAAAAAAAAAAAAAATTCAGTCTGCAGATATGCTGAATTTGTGCGTCACTGTTGGAAAAAGGAAAACCTGCTGTGTCAGTGCGTTAAAAATGACTTTTCTGCATTCTGGTCGAATGCCGGTAACGCCTTTTTGCCATAGCATTAATCAAGACCTTGTCAGAGATTGTAAGCATTGAAGCTTAACTATTCACATTATTTTCAAGGCTTGACATTGTGCAAATTCGAGAGGAGGATCTTCTCACCAGCACGTCAGCATGCCGTTTGGAGGAAAAGCACATCAAGTGTACTTAAGTGGCTGCAGACATCGTTTGGGTTCTGTTCATGGGAGATAATGTGGACACGCTGACAAGTGAAGCATATTCAGGCCTTGAGAATCCACCTCATCCTGCCAAGTGTGGCCCTGCCCCACCACAACACGTCTATTTTAAAAAAGTGTAAATAGTAAGCTGTGTTTTTAGGCGCGCTGATATTGGGCCCCCAATTATAGGTTACACTATGGGCAGGGAGAAGTCACTCTTTATAGGCCCTCCCTCTGTTTGACTCCAGAGACATTTCTAATTCCATCTGCTGCAAGAGTCATCTCTGTATATGTATCCCGAGCAGGGTGGATACAGGAGAGTGAGCTTTTAGAGTATAAAGTATAAAGAAACGAGATGTATTTGCACAATGTGCTCACCTCTTTTGAAACCTCCCTAATCTATATATGGACTAGTGAACTGCCTGTGGTGCAGATTTCATGCCAGAAAAGAATAGTTAAGGTTCACTGGCAGCTTGGCGTGTGGACTAATTTCGAGCTCAGTGAAGAAAAAGCACTGGGTTTATCTTTCCTCCACAAAAAGTCCTTGAAATGAATGTCATCCCTCATCTTACGGTGATTCAGTAGTAAGCACTTAATATATGTGACTGCTGTCTTTTGTAATCTCCTCTCAGAGGCATCACGGTGAGCCAGCAGTCTTAACTGCACCAACACCTGTTTGATTCCTGTCAGGGACCTTTAACACGTCATTACCCTTTCTCCCTGTCCCCACATTCCCGTCACTCTTTGTCAGTATAATGCAATTAAGGGAAAATGCTGGAAAGTCTGGAAAACAAATTGCTTCTTAATATTTACCCTCAAAGAGTCTGTAAGTGATCGCTGTTGCTTTTTTCCATGACAGAAATGGACCATTTTTAAAAATCCAGCACTCACAGAACGCGATGTCTGTTCATTAAAAGGTTTTTTTTTTATAGACAAGATGATTTTTCTATGTATATTTTTTTTAAATTGTATTGCGGCTGTAGCAGTGTAAGTGGTGTGACGGCATTAGATTCCATACAGATTGAACAGCTTTACATAAAATGAAAGCCCCGAGAATCTGTTTAACAGATTTTTGCAAATCAAGATGCTTCACATGTCTCGTGTGGCTCTAAAAGCCTTCTGCTGCTGCTGAAATCCCCAGTGCCACTGCTATGAAATGAATTTTGCTGTCTCTGAGGTAAATAGCCCTTTAGTTATCACCATTTTTGTGAATTTTGTCCAACCTTGAGGGTTTTTTTTTTTCCTGTCAGTCTTTGTTTTGTTTAGTTCTGGGTTTTTTTAATCAAAATTTTATCTATATTCAAATATTCTGAAAATAATCACATGTTTGATTTGACAGCTGACAAACTAAATAAGAGATGTAGATTTTTATTTGCTTTGACTTTGAATTTCAGCTCCCTCTGATCGCAGGCATTTTTTATGGTTAAAAATACATAAATCAAGAGTGGTGGTATTCTCAAGAGTTTCACCAGATATATCACACTGTGATTTATGTGTTAATTGGACTCAGTCAGGTCTGACTGAGTTTAACTTCTGTGACAGCAGAAAAGTTGAAAGTGCTGTTTTTAGCTAATGCTGAAAACCTCTTTAAAAGTGCAACTAAATTTGGAGATCAGTGAGAAATCATTAATATACTGGCTTGGCTCATGTTCTGTCTACCCCCTCTAAACCGCGTCTTCTGCGATAATCTGTGCAGCAGGAAATTCCCTTGCTCTTATTTTGAAAGTTTAGTCATTGCTAACCAGAGCTTTTGTATTTTTTGCCTTTTTTCCCTACCAGCAGGCTGGCAGGTCACAGTTTGGCAGTTCTTGATATCATTCAGCTGCTGCTTGAGAGTTTGTTGTCCTGCAGTTTAAACAATTTTGGTCTGCTGCTGGTGGCGGCTTTTAAAAAAAAAAAAAAAAAAAGTACTGCAACTTAAAGCTCGGCAAGGCTGCAGAACAGAACAAAGACTTCCTTAGCTAACTGCTGTCCAAGACATTGGCAATGGGAATCTGAACAACAAGACAAGAGACTCACTCAAGAGGCGGTTAATTATTGCTCTGTTTATTTGTCACAAAGTGGGCCAAGTTATTTTTGCCGAGGAGCGCATTTAATATTTTAGAAGTTGATAATTCTTTTAAAAAAGCACTGGTGTGCCTCCCTTCATGTCAAGCAATGCTACAGCACACTCCCAGCTTCCTGCACAAATCGAATAGCTTACTAATAGTTTGCTTGAAAAAGCTTATAGTATTGAACCCCGTTATCACGGCATCAACATCTGCCGCTACTTTTAAACAAGGCCAGCCTTGGATCACGGCTTTGATATTCATCTGTATGCATCTACCTGCACACACAAAGAAGCTTAACGTCTGCTGTGCTGGTGGATAAATTAAGAACTTTAGAAAATTGTCTCTGAGCTTTTAATTTCCCTTCCCTTTGGAGCGGACATTAAGTTCCCGCTGACTTGTGGCCATTTTGTAGAAAAAGAAACAGCCACCCAGGGATCATTTATTTTCATTGAAAGGCCAGAGGAGAGGCACAGGCAGTCTGGCTGGCAGAGCATCAACTGAGTTCAGTCAGGTGAAACTGTCATATCTGCGCTCATCTAACACACACACACACACACACACACACACACATGCACACACGCATACATGCACACACCTACTCAAAGATAAGATGAAGTTGGGTGTACTTTCACCAAACAGTTCACCTCTAAGTAGGTATCTAATCTGGCAAGAAAAAAAAAAATGCATTGCAGTAACCAAATTGAACTCCCTTATTAGGTGGATAACATCAGATTCACAGTGCTACTGTCTGTCAGAACACAGTGCAGCGAGAGAGGAACATTTTTTTATAATCCCAAAACTAAAACAGTGACTTGTAAAATGAAGAATAGTACAGTTGCCTTAAAGACTGGGGAGGACGACTAGAAAAATCAGAACAGCTGTCGAGCCCAGAGAGAACATTTGGGCAAAAAAGAAAGTGTTATTTCAGGTTTAAGGACTGGATTGGAAAGCAAATCCAGCAGAGCCAACAATAGATTCCCGAAAGAAAAATCAGATTCTTGACTCTTGTCAGAGGGTCAGTCAGAGCTACCTTACTCTTTATCACTATATTTGCACCTTTGTTTCTTTTCTTTTTCCATAAGAGCTGCAAGTTTTCTCCATTCACTCCCAGAAAAAACTCCCTCCCAAGTACATTCTGTTCTACTTGGATAGTTTTCACATTGAAAGAATATAATTGGTTTAATGGAAGAGAGGCGATACCACATTGGGACAGTCAGGGGAATTAAAAATAGAAATAAACATTGCTGACCTATACAATTGTGGCAGGATCTACAATTAATCATGCGTCCCTTTCTGGATATTGAAA